AGGGAGAATACGCTTGATATGATTATTCTGATGAAATAAATAGGTGTTTTACAGAAAACAATTGCCTCCACCAAGTCAATGACCACAGAGGGCTGGAATTGATTTTTTCCTTGCCTCGGTTCTGGGTTCCAAAACACGAAATAAGCCGAAATTGAGAATAGGTTCTTGTACTGTATACGTATTCTCAACCTTTCGTGAAAAATTTTACAGCATTCTACGGGAGCCCTAGCTTGTTTTGAATTCCCTTTCTAACACGATTGCCCTTAACCCTTCTCGGTAAAAATTGTTAAAAACTTGATAGACAAAAGAGGTTTTTCCAACTTGTACAGACTCCTCCCTCTTTGGTAGCGCATATGGGTAGCGGGAACCGAACCGAAATTAAAAATTTTAATTTCAACTTCGGGTGCAAGATTACCTTTTCTCTCGGACATGGGTTGAGCGCTGAGCACTCTCTTCGATGTGTTCCCGTCATACCATCCTTCCAGGTTTTAAATTTTCGCGATAACTTCGCGCGTTTGGCTGGAAACATGCGAAACACGCGATACAAACATGAGAAGCCTGAGGCAGCCATGTTGAGCTCGATTTCCTGACTTAGCCTGCGAGCAGGCTCTTCGCATGGCATGAAAGAAGGAGAGGAAAGGGAAAATGTGGACGTACCGATTCAAAATTTAAAGTGGTGTGGTCAAGTTCTTCTTCCCCTTTCCTCTTCTTCTTTCTTGCCACGCGAAGAGCCTGCTCGCAGGCAATCCGGGCTCGGAGAAACTACCTCGAGCGGGAATGGTCGAACGGAACGGAATTTTCCGGATATTCCGATTTTCCGGAATTTTAGGCCATCAAATGAAATTCCGCAGCCGTTTTTTGGAATGTCACGCAACGCTCCCGTGACATCCCAAAAAACGGCTGTGGAGGAGACTAATGAAATTGTGGAAAAAGTCCGTTCCATTCGCTTCCCCACCCGGAATTTCCGGAATACTGTCAATGGAGCGCCCCAGGATACCTTGCGCGCGTGACGTTCATCTCTTGGTTCTCTTTTCGTACCCTTTTCGTACTGCACTGTACTGTGACGAGCGGGGTGATGGTAAGTACGCTTTTCTTTTGCATTGAGTGGAAGAATAGGTGCTTTCCAGGTAGTTCGGGCAATAATCCAGTCCACGGTACTTTGGAAAGGTTGCTGGAGAGAACTTCAGCTCTCTTTAACTACTACATTGCTTATGCATAAGGAGTTGGTGATACCACGGCATGCAGGCGCGGCCAGAGTTTTACTGCAGCTGTGAACAACTTAAGCTTGGAGCCTGCTGTGTGCCGAATGGAGTTTTGAATTCTTCCGTTATTATCTTTTATTCTTTCATTCCTTAAGCAAAATGCTTGTAAACTTTGATGGGTGATCATGAATTAGTATATGTATGACTCAGCGGATTTTTTATCCTTCGATTTATTGCAAAACACATGTATCGAGCTCAAGCAGTAAAATTCTGAAAGTTATAAGCCGACCTCTCCAAGTCCCACCCACAAGTCTTCTATGTGTCCTCTAAGATACAGATTTTAGAAAGCGACGGTGATAATATACAAGCTGGGTTTGGCTACACAGAACGGAGCGGGACATGGGATTTGCGGTGTTGCGGCGTTGATGTTTTTTCAATGCGGTGATGCGGTGGATAAAATCTCAAATTGCGGTGTTGCGGTGATCTCAAACCCTACAGTGTGCGATGTTTGTGTTTTTCACGCTGCGGTGTTTGGTGAAATGAAATTGTTTGCGGTGCTGGGGTCTTTTGATTTACCTTTCTCAAACCTAAATTTGACCTGAATTTAGCATGTAAACTTCGTTAATCCATGCTAATTTATGACAGACACGTACCCTTGAGGTTAATAATTTGTAACAAAATACAGACCATCACGTTCTAGTCAATCTTCAATATGTTTCAGCTGCCAATCCGAAGCTGTTTTCAGTTACACATAACTTGACAAGTAACTCAACCTCTGCCACCCGGAGCTCAGTGTTTGGTAGACACATGGAGGAGCGAGGACAGAAACAATCCTAGAAATTCTGGAAATGCCAAGGCTGAAAATAATGTATATTGACTGCACAGCTTTTTTCTACGTAAAAAGGAAAAAGTGGCAAAAACTACTGGCCACAAAATATATTCAGATGTCGCGTCAACAGGGAAGGAAGAAGGCTTTCTAAGCTAAGGAAGCTTTGTAAATTACACATGTTTACTATTCTTTTCCTTTTGCTATTCGACCTATTCGGCTTCGTCTAGAGGTCATTCTGATATCGGTCTATACCTGCTCCAAGGTCCTGCGACTTTCTTGACCTTCTTTTTTTTCAAAAGATTATCGATATTGAACACAAATGCAGCTAGCTCCGGAAAGCAATACTTTCAGTCAAGATAGGGCTTCAGTCAGTGGGTTTATACACCAAGAAAAGTGAGTGCAGTAAAAGAAGAGAGGGATCTGGGGTAAAGGCCATCTCTCCAGGCTTCTTTCTTTTTTCTTCGTCTGCTTCCTAGCTTCGTACAAGGTTTCTTTACAAGACCAAGAAAACTGATTTACAGGCATCAGCAGTATGGACATAAGCGCAAGCGTTGTGGTGTGTTTATTTTGTGAAAAATTGTTGAGGTATAAAATTATTATTTAGGTGAACGAATCATGGCACTAAAAATACGTGTTGCAGTGATGGTGTTTCGTTGACTTTTCTTGCGGTGATGCGGTGTTTGTTAATTTTTTTTGCGGTGTTGCAGTGTTCAGAACCCCCCATGTCCGGTCCCCTCAGAATGCAAGATGGGGTATTGCATCCCAGGGGGTGTGGTGGGGAGGGGGTACTCCAGACTAATTGGGTGTAGGTGTGCAGCCTGCTTTCCAAAACCCTTCCCTTACTGCGCACGTAAATTCACACACCATGTCGTGCAACAAGTGCGCGCCAAGGGATAAAATGGACAACGATAGTGCAGATGGCCAATGCTATAGCTTTGCCTGGATTTAATGATCTTGGATGTTCGGTGACCCCTATTTTTCTTTTGACGGATCATTTTCTCCACCAATTTTGTAAGAAGAAAGAAGAAAATCTATCGATTAGAAGTTTGATATTTTGGGAAAATATGCAACATCGAATTCCATTCTTTTTAGCTCTTCATTTATTTGTGTGGCGGTTTCAAATGCCTCTTTTAGGGTTAAGTTTTGTGAAAACGTTGGCAACATTAATTTTGGAATTATTAATGCAGTGGATTCACTTAACATGGATTCATCTTTGATATTTTAGGTTAATAACCTTGGAGACCATGGTGATTTACACACCCAAATTTGTCAGAATCAGACTAGTTTTCCAGATGCCTTATCTCTGAAATGAAGACTGTGACCCCCAATTTTTTTTTTTTCAATTCTGAAACCATTATTCATTATCTGTCTGCAATAATGGTTTGAAGAAAATCTATTGAGTAGAACATTTTCTCATGAACATCCTTAAGACCAACATCTGCAATTTTCCCTACCCTATTTGTGACCTGACCAAACATTTGACACCCAATTTTAGACCTTGGGACCCTTTAATCAATACCTGGTTTTAGACCTGCCTTATAATTAGTTCCCTAGTTGTTAATGTTAAAGGGGATGTTTACACGCTTTTATTAGTTGGGATAGCTACTTCTCAAAATATATACCCAATTAAAGACTAGAGTGCAAAAACCATACCCTATCTGAGACCAAAATGGCCGAAGTCGATACCCTAAATCTGCAGACCAAAAAGGCTCAAACACCATACCCTTTATGGCCACACTTACCTATATGGCCTATATAGGGGAGAACCNTACCCTATTTGTGACCTGACCAAACATTTGACACCCAATTTTAGACCTTGGGACCCTTTAATCAATACCTGGTTTTAGACCTGCCTTATAATTAGTTCCCTAGTTGTTAATGTTAAAGGGAATGTTTACATGCTTTTATTAGTTGGGATAGCTTCTTCTCAAAATATATACCCAATTAAAGACTAGAGTGCAAAAACCATACCCTGTCTGAGACCAAAATGGCCGAAGTCGATACCCTAAATCTGCAGACCAAACAGGCTCAAACACCATACCCTTTATGGCCACACTTACCTATATGGCCTATATAGGGGAGAACCCACCCCCCCCCCCCCCACCCCCGGGTTTGGCCACACAACAGTGCAAGATGGTATTACAGGTACCTGCTCTGTCTAAAAGGAAATGGTCTCCTGGGGGATGTCCTATATGAAAAGGTCAGGGATGTTCGTCATCTCGCATAGGGGTATAAATCAAGGGTTTTGCACCCATTTAGGGTGTTCATGGTAAAATGTCTCTTATCATTTTTAAACATAAAATGAAAGCCTTCCTTTTAAATCAATTATTTTTAATGTTGTAAATTTTATATGTAAATAGTTTTTCAATGATTGTTTATCGATAATCTTTGAGTATTTTTTTAATTATCTTTATCATTATAATTATTTTCTCTGAAAAGTCCCCATGGACAGTTAACAATAAAATTTGTATTTATATTTGTATTTACGCCTCTGTTTTTAGTTTTCAGAGAATCTTTACAGTGCACTCAAAGAAATAGTAATAAGAAAACCCTCTTATTTCAGTTTTTAAGCACTATTTCTGCTGGTCTCTTGAGTCCAGTCTACTAGCACAGGCTCCTTTCCTGAACAGCGGCTGGTGAATCGAGCCTATTCCGTTTTAAGTAATATCTTGAAGTTGTCAAATAAAGCTCGAGTTACGCCCAGATTGGTCTCCTTTTGTGTTGTAATTAAAATTTTCCAATGAGCATCCCCGACCTTTTCTTATGGGAGTTCCCCTGGGGGGGGAGGGGGGGAGGGGGGAATGATGTTTTTTAGCTTAAATTGTCTACTGACCAAAAACTTATTTATGGATTATTTGCTCTATTTTGTAACTCATTTTTAGGCAGCAGCTGCAGTGAAACTTAACAATGGAGCATTAATGCCCTCTGTTGCATTAGGGTGAGTAGTTACATGTAATTTAACTTAGGCCAGGCTAAAGTTGTTCCTTTAACTATGAGAATGCAATGTCTGAGTTATAATTACTGTGTGGGATGTTTAACTTATTTTGAGAGCTGAAGAGAGGGTGGTAATATTGGAGACAGGGTGGTTGTTAGGGGTACATGTAGGCCGGCACACTTATTATTTTTTTTCTGACATAAACACCCATATGTGTAAAACATAAGGAATCTAGATCTTTGTTTGAAGGAGTGCTGTCCTGCCTTGGAAACAACAGTTGAGGCAGCAGTTTTGTTGTGAGGGTAATATTGAATGGACAATCTCAATGTACAAGCATTCTGATGGCAATGTCATTGACAAAGGAATAGCTAAGCTTAGGTGATAGGGAGGAGCGCATATTGGTATAGTAGGTACTAATTTGAGTAGAGGTACTTATTTACAAAACCATGCTCAAAGGGGAGTGCATTCAGGGTGGAGGTCATAATTATTATAATAAGGGCACTAAAATTAAATCATTCGGACAGTTGAAAAGGGTCCTTATTTAAATGCCTTGCAGCTCTGATCTATAATCATTTTTGAATGAAGTTGTTTTGATTAAAAGATTCTATGTTTGTAGATATTACTTCTTTCCATCATGTATAAAAATGTTAGTTTGTTTTTCTTTTCTGACATAGGACATGGAAATCCAAAAAGGGTGAAGTTGGCAGAGCTGTCAGGCTTGCTTTACAGTACGGATACAGACACATTGACTGTGCGCATATCTACCTAAATGAGGATGAAATTGGCGAAACATTTGCAGAAGTTTTTAAAGAAGGAAAAGTGAAGCGGGAAGATGTTTTTGTCACATCAAAACTCTGGTGATTATTGAACATTCCACGTCAAAAGCACATAATTTATATACTAGTAATAATAACATAAATTTATCAAATAATCTTCGTAATCTAAACTGTTAATAAATTATGCCTTTTGAGAACTATCTTCACGTTGATAAGTGAATAAAGATTTTTTTTTTCATATCTTCATGTCGTAAAAAAATTCCTAGAAATGGAACCTTATTGTTCTAGCCATGGTGTATAGCCCACCAGCCAACCAGTGGAAAAATTTGGCCATAGTTTAACAGATACACTGTATAGGAAATAATGATTAGACATGTACATATTGAAGAGATCAATAATTATTGCCAGCAAAGAAACATGCACAGTTACTTGTAATCATTTATTTATGCTGGCTAGGTTCTACAGTATTCCACTCAAGGTACATGTAGTTCAGATAAAATGTGTGTAATTGTTCTCTGCCTGTCAGATTTTGTTTTTAAATCTTCCATTTCCTGGTAGACTGTGGAACTTCAATATAGGCTGTAATTTTTATAGGGTCTGCAAGAGTGATCTAGGAAGAGATACAAAAAAGAAGGGATCAGAGTGAGCTGCTGGACTTCAAACAGAATTGTTACCATACTTTTCTGTCTTTGTCAAATAGTCATGCTTTTTTTCCAGGCAGATTCAATAACTCAACCCTTAAAGTGCCTATGAAATGAAATTTTTGCCCCCTTTTTATTCCAGAAAATTGAAGTCTATGTTGCACGGATTTATAAATGTCCAATTGTAGCCCTTCTCTGATGTGAAAAACATTTTTTTTTTTGTCTTTCCAAATTTGCTAAAAATGCAAGTGCCATTTTCCAAGGCCTGGAACTAGTGATGTCATATTGTGTGTAATGATACTGACAGCTTTCCATTAATACCTGTATCTGATTCCCTTGTTTTTTTTCTTGTGTGTGTCAAATTAGGTGTAACAGCCATGATCCTGAAGATGTCTTACCAGCTTGCCAAACAACATTAAAAAATCTTCAGTTGAGCTATCTGGATTTATATCTGGTAAGTCTTATTTTGAGGGAGGTGCAGTGGCCACATTGTTAGTGAACTAAACTCCGGATTGAGCAGAACTGGTTGAGCCTGTCCACCCTGAGCTGTGTTCTTGACACTTCACTCCCACAGTACCTCTCTCCACCAACGTGTATAAATGGGTACTGTGAACTGTTAGCATTCCATCCGAGAGGAGTAGAAATTATACTTTTAGTTGCTGTAATGCAACAGAAACCAGAGATAAGCACAAGCCTGATCAGCCCCTGGCCTCAAATTAACTGCACCTTTACTTTGAACTCGTTACCTAAGTTACCTCTTTTCCTTGCTTTAAGTGTGGTCGTTTTTCTTACTTTTTCTATTTCTTTGTCACTGTCTTGGTTTGCCTTCTGTTGAGGCCTCAAGAAACATACTAGATTTTTTATGCACTCAACAATGAAAATATTTTAATATTCTTTTATAATAATTATAATCATCATTATCTAGTCCTCTTTGTCCCTTTTGGGGCATCGGGCATCCACAGTTGCCTTCCACCTCTGTTGGTCTTGAGCGACTCTTTTGGCTTTGCACCAACTCAAGTTGGCATCTGTCAGGTCTTTCAAGATGCTTCTGTACCACATGATTCTCGGTCTGCCATGTTTCCATGTGCCTTGTGGGTTCCAGCCCATCGCGTTGTGTGCTATGTTCTTCTCACCCTGCCTTAGTGTATGCCCTATCCACTTCTAGCGCCTCCTTTTAATGGTGGTGTTGATAGGCTCTTGACCAGTTCTTGCCCACAAATCTCTGTTGGTGATCACCTCAGTCCAGTACACCCACAGAATCAATATTAATAAATTAGTCATATTTTATGCTTCAGTCACAAGAAATTTAAGTTAGTACTCTGTGCAAGATGTTTAAATTAAACAAGGTTTTGAAAGTGATGCCAATTCACATGCAATATGTATTTTTTTCCCTAACAGATCCACATTCCAACTTCTTTTAAAAAAGATGCCCTTTTCCCACGTTCCATAGCAGAGGGTACTCTTGGTTATTCACCTGACCGTATCGCCAAGACTTGGCAGGTAAGAGTGAACTCTATGTGTAACAGCACTTAATGGATACCAGATGATGCTTGTAGGTCCAAATATTTGTTTTTGTAGTTTATAAGTGTACTATACAAGTGCTCCTGTAGGCCAAGTAACTTTTCATGTCCACTTGTCCAATAGACAGAAGCCCAGAAAAGTCATTTGCCAATCAAATCATAAAAAAGAGACACAAAAACAAGCATGCACTTGCCCTGGGCAAGCAAAATTACTTGTCTGAAGGGCAAGCTTGAATTCAAATTTTTTTAGAGCTCTGGCTACAGTAATGTGTGGTGTACAGCTGAAGGCTTTCAAAATTAAGAGACTTCTATACAGCAATAACTACTAATAATAATTGTAGAATTTATTTATATATCATGTCTGACCTTTGTATACAAAAAAGGGGCCTCAAACCAAAGCTAGATTTACTGGCTCTGTGGATTTTGCTGTTGAATTGGTTGAATTCCCTGACACTTGGATATTACGCCTTCGACCTTAATAATTATGATTGTGCTTAAGATGTCAAGTCTGCTACACATTGGCTTAATGGCTTTGAAGATCAGCCTTGGTATTGGCCAAGCAACGCTCTTTTCTGATATTGCCTCTCTTAAAATATTATTTTTGTTTATCAAAGGCAATGGAGCAGCTTCTTGATAAAGGTCTGTGTAAAGCCATTGGAATCTCGAACTTTACAGTTAAGAAAACAAAGGCTCTTCTAGAAACTGCTAAGATAGTGCCAGCTTGTAATCAAGGTAATGATCTGAATCAGTATACTATGATGTACATCKATGAGTYTTATGTAACACGTCATAACCAATAGTCAACCCTTAAGCGCAGCAACATGAGTTATACAATATAAATGATCGGGTAAAACTTTAAAGGATAATCTGTAGGGTTTTTATTTTGCAATCGGCCCTATTTCCCAGTGGGGGAATTGGAAACAATGGTAATGATGATGATGATGCTGATGATGATGATAAAGTACGAAATAAATATTAGTACATTATTTCTGTATTTGTGATGACCTTGTAACATGCAGTAATAGTAACAATTGTGAGAGAGTAGTTGTTGTAGCTTGAATTTGGACTAAAACGGGGTTCTTTCTGAATATTTAAAATTTATAATTAAAGGTTACTAACATTTTCTTTTAATTGTGATGTTTAAAATGACAGATTTTATTAATATTTTATTAATAAGTTAGAATTCTAGTGTTACAGAATGGCCATGCTAGTTTCTTAATACATAACTTTATTTAATTTATAACTTTTTTATATTTTATGATTTTTCACAGTGGAGCTGCACCCTTATTTACCTCAGCCAGAGCTGTTAAAGTTTTGTGCTAGCAAGGGTGAGTCAGTATATAATACATCAGTGCTTGATATTTTGACTGGGTTTGAGGGTAGCATTGTAACTGTTCAACATAAATCAGCATCAATTGGGAAATGAGTTAATTTCATTACCTGTATGGTGCTTAAATCTTAGTTTGGCATATATGCCATAATTAAATTCTGTCTAGGCCTAGTAGGAAGTTGGACATTAGTATCTAACAAATATCCTATGTACAATTATATCCATGTACATGTAAATTTCTCTTACCTGTGTAAAACCCTTCAGGAAAGTGGTATTTCAGCTCAGTCTTAATGTTGTGAATGGGTACTTGATTATACAGTTGCACCTTAATTTAGCAAATTGCTTATAACTGATTTTATGACTAAATTCTGGGCACTCTTATTTGCTATTGTAAGTACACTTGATCAAAGGTACGGGCTTCCTTTCCCTAATCTTGAGTAATCACACCAGGTGATTCATTTGGTAGCTGAACTCCAGTTTCTTTAGCATAAAATTGGCAAGGATTGAACAGCAGCTTCCTCATTCCCTGGATGGGATGCTGGTCCATTGCAGGTTCTCCACCCTAAATTGTCTTGTTGTGCCAATAATTTGTTATTCCCCCCTGCTTTTATACACCTGAGTGAATAGAGGCACTGCATTTTGAGTTAAGAGTCTTGCCTAAGAAACCAGGAAAATATCTCCAGCTAGGCCTAACTTTCCGGGGCAGAGTCTCACATAAAAATGAGGGGGGCCTAAGAGATAAGAGGTACCAAGATACTGTTTTGTGTGCATGGCTTGAAAATGTTCTCGCCTCTAAGAGATACCAATTCTAAAACAACACATTAACTGACACTGACATTTTTCAGCTCAATACCCTTTAAGGTACTGCCAAAGCTCTTGTTGTGGATCTTTTAAGGCTGAACACCCTAAGAGGTACCAAACCCGCTCCTTTGACCCCCTAAAAGGCATGACAAGCACCCCTGTCCTTTTATACNCACAGGGGTGCGGAGTTTCTCGCGAAATCTTTGACAGTGGGATGAATCTCCCCCCGCAGATTTCACGGTCAGGCGAATTTTGTTCCAGCTAGGAGGTGTTCAGAGCATAAGCGCTTTGCCAGGTGATAATCAGTTCTATAAATATTTTCTCTTCCCAGTAAGACTTAAGGACCTGATGCTCCATAATCAAAAATTCTTGTTTTGTTTAGGGATTGTGGTGACTGCGTATTCTCCATTGGGGTCACCTGACCGCCCTGGTGCTAATGCAGACAGTGATCCTGTTGTGTTGAATAATCCTGTGCTGCAGAAGATTGCTGATAAACATAACACCACTATTGCCTTGGTACGTGAGTTTATATCAATATTGTTTTGCCAATGAGCTGATTTCTCTCTACGGAGTGGGGAGGGGTGTGTCACGGGGGGTGGGGGGCATGAATGCTTGGCGGGATCTGGAGGGAATGAAGCTTAAGATATACAAGGTCTGTTTATCTTTATTCCTAATTTCTTCATGATCACACCAAATTATGTAGCTTATAAAACCATGCAGGCAGCTAGTCAGACCTGTTGTAAACAGACAAGTGATCATGGCTAATGACTAGGCCTGTTCCGACTGTGCTTGTAAAATCCTGGAAAGTTGCTCACTGGAATACCGAATAGTTGCTGAAGAAATGCCAAAAATCTAAGAAGTTGCTACCTAAATACATTCTTGATATTTTTATATAAACGTTAATTATAAAAATAAAGGAAAGAAGTTT